TCCCCCCCCCCCCCCCCCCCCCATAGGATTACGACCTGAGTCAGCTCCAGCAGCCGGACACGATAGAGCCTGATGCCATCAAGCCGGTGGGAATCCGCCGTCTAGACGAGAGACCCCTCCACCCTGAGCCACAGTACCCCATGAGGTCAGCAGCACCCCACCCTGGAGACATCGGAGACTTCATCAATGAGGTAAAAAAAATCCAACACACACAGAGTACTTGGTAAACTGAGATTGTTTTGTTGTACGGTGAAATGAAATCCCAGGAAATCAGATGAAGTGAAAGAATCTGTGTGGTTACAAAGCTGGAATTTCATTTTCAAGCCGAATGACTTTTATTATCATAAACTATCTAAATAAACAATTTGGTTTATAGGACTCATCAAGCAGTTGCGCGTCGCCTTGTAGTGCGGGGGGGACTTTAAATTGAATCTATTATTATTATTATTAGAATTGTTTTCAGCGTTCTCCAGCAGAAGAACACACTTCCACTGAGAAGCCCAAAGAGTACATGACGCTAACTCACTTAGACACAATTGTTTTTCTCCTCACTTTCCGCCAAAGCAGAGTTATAGATGTGTCCGCATAGAAATAGGAGATGAGAGAAGCAATGCATTGGCTTTCTATCGGAGTGCTCTATTCAGAGTGCCTTGGTTTGCCTGGGGCCACCATTGACTCCAGCATGAAGGGAGAATGTAAAATGAAAAGAGCAGTCATGTATTTTTCACCAGCTCCAACAGACAAGAGTTTCACAGCATTACAAATGGAGTTCTCTCCTAGTTTTTTGGATGGCGCCCATGTTTCTAAATTAGAACTTGCTCTTTCAGCGCTGCTCCCCGGCAATCCATCTCTCAGATCCCTTTTGCCCAGACGCCGCTTGTTCTCGCTCTCGCCGCGTGTCGTGAACACGCATAATGCATTTTGTCGTGGCGGCCGATTGAGCCAAGTGGAAATGTAATGTTTCCCCGCCGCTCGACGACGAACAGTTTGACAACGCGCACCCATCCTTCATCAGGCTTGTTATTTTAACGTTCTCACGAGACCTTTTGAAACACAAACCCAAGTCTGAGCATCCTGACCCAGAAAAAGCTCACCGCAACCAGACAGCGCTGATCTGTTTCCAGTCCCAGATTTGACTGTTGCTAAAAGCTCAGTTATGGCGGCTCACACGGAGCTGGAATCTGACCTAACTGATAAGGGCTCGCCACCCGAGGAGTGGGGGAGACAGTGAGGGGGAGGGGGGGGGGGGGGGGGGGGGGGGGGGGGGGGGGAGGCGTCTGATCTCCATCCTGAAATGTGCACACGCCCCCAGGAGCTTGTGGCTCTTAATTCAATTAGAGGGACAAATACATTAGGCAGAGGTTTAGCATAAGGACTTTAACCTCACAGTTGGACAAACAAAGGTCTATTAGGCAACTGGTCTGTTCTCACAAAGGGTGGTGGTGGTGGTCGGGGAGGGCACACGCCAACTTACCAACTTAACATGACCTCGGTTGGTCACAGGTGGACACAATGCCAAACACGGGGAGACAAAGCTGAAGTGATTGCGCTCGTTGTTTTTTTTGTTGCATGGTGTGACGTCCGAATGGAAACACCAGTGGGTTTTATTACAGTCTGTGTTGTTATCTGTGGGACGGAGCGACTCCAACCAGTGGGGGGGGGGGGCAGTTCAACATCTCACCGAGTCTCCAGCGCAGGACCCCCCGCCTGGTGACCCGGTTATTATGAAACCACGAGGCTGAGTTCTGTGATTGACTAACCTTATGAAACTGCCAGCAGGGTTTTTTGGTTGGAGATGGAGCAGACCATAACCAGCGGAGCGATTATGGTTGTAATTGTAATGAACGATCCATCTGTCATATTTCCCACCAAATTATCAGCATCGCAGCCCTGAGCAAATACATAACGGAAGCTAACAAGTGGAAAATAATAGCTAAGTGCCCGGGCACTTTAATTCAATCCGTCTTTTTATTTGAGAGCATTTCACAGCCGTGATAGCAGCACAGAGGAAACTATAAATCTTTGACAAGTTGGGCAGAGGTCTCGATTTTTTTATTTATTTTTTTGTCACGTTGCTCCACTTCTGTTAATTCATTTCTTATTTGTTGGGTTACCTGGCAGAAACCAGGCTTAGATCCAAAGTGGTTCATGGCCAAAGCACATCTCAACTCCTAGATTAGCAATCCATCAAGTCCCATGAGTCCCGGCTGGAAATCAATAACAATCCATAAGGACCTCTCATGCCGCGGCGAGGATTTCTGGGAATGTTGAGTACAATCTTCGGAATAGACCCCCCCCCCCCCGAGATAACACATAGCCCCTCTCGTCTTAAATGCTCAATCTTGGCTTTCGATCAAGCAGCAGATAATCCGACATCCCAGAAAGAGTTCAGACCCGAAGACAGCGGGAACTCACAGGAACACTAGAGCCTGATTAATCTGACTTCCTGAAGTGGAGGTAGAACCATCCACTGGGTTTGCAGGACAGATTAGTCTACTTGTGTGCAGAAGCGTTGTTGCGCAGACTTAATTTAATCTCCTCATCTAACCGCGGTTTTGCTTCCTTCCGTGCAGGGACTTAAGGCGGCAGACAACGACCCCACCGCCCCCCCCTACGACTCCCTGCTCGTGTTCGACTACGAGGGCAGCGGCTCCACGGCCGGCTCCCTCAGCTCCCTCAACTCCTCCAGCAGCGGGGGCGACCAGGACTACGATTACCTCAACGACTGGGGCCCGCGCTTCAGGAAACTGGCGGACATGTACGGCGGAAGTGATGACTAGAGCGTGCGAAGGAAGAAGAGATGCGAGAGAAAAGAAAGAAGAAGAAAAAGAAAAAAAAAAAAACGAAGGAAAGATTTCCTGTTGATGGACACGGACGGCTTCTGATATTCCCCGAGAGTGACGGAACTGTGACAGAAAAAATACAAAAAAAAAAAGAAATAAACATTGATTCAGAATTTTTTTCAAAAACAACCAACCTAGGCTTATTGTTGTAGTCTACGCATACATATGCTTGTTGAAAGCTTAGGCATAGGCTGTGGTCCGGTTATGGAGGCTGTGGGGAGGGAACACTGGTGGGCTGTCGCCACTCGGATTGTTGGTATTGAATGCGCTCAGTTACACTTGAATTTCACAGTACAGAAGCACTGGGATATAATGTGCCTTTTTGTACATTTTTTGGATCTAAATGATTAGTTTTATGTTCAAGGCTTTAATGGTACTGACTTTTGGAGTGATTTCAAACTAAGTATGTTACACTCTGGTATGCTTCTACATGCTTTTTTTTCCTCTTCGGTTACACAACGCTCCTGTTTGTTGAAGATTATTTAAATAAACTACAAAGACGAAGAAATGAAGGATCTTCTGTTAGCTTGGACAGAAAGAAAGTCAATTAAGAACAGCACTGTACATTACGCTAGACTTCTAGACTTTTTCACTAAAAAAAAAAAAATTATGCAGCTGGTTGCAAATAAAGGGAGTTATGAATCATACTTTTGTAGCAGATTTTTTTTTTTTTTTCGTTTGTTTCTGAGGTGATGTAGTATTTTACAAAAACAAAAAAAACAGCTGTTTCGGTCTAGTTTATGTACACTTTATTTGCCTTAGTCATCTGATATTTTCAACTTTACTTCACTGTAAAAAGATGTGTGTACATAATGTTTCTTTTTTTCTCCTTTGATCTTTTTCTTTTATTGTAGTACATGAAAAAGTGCAAAAGGTTCCAAACTTGTAAATGTATAATTTGGACTACAAATTCAAGTTTTTTGCATGTTTTTATCTTTTCATGACAACAGAAATGAAAAATGTTGCTTCCCAAATTTATTTACAAGGTGAAAAAAAAAAATAAAAAATCTGGGTGACATTAACTGTGTAGAAGTAAAGTTTTTTTTTTTTTTGTATAAAACGTGAAGAAAAATGCATTGATAAAAATGGAGAAGTAGTGATCTTGTCAGCACAACTGTTGAATTTGTACCAAAAAGGGGGTGGGTTGGGTGGAGGGGGGGGGGGGGGGGACATGCTAGGCACTAATTGCTGAATCAGCTTTAAGACTGGAGAAGGTTTTGGACTTAAGCCTTGAGGAGAACCATGTGTACTGGAAAGCAAACTATACACCTCTGACCCCGACCATCCAAATAAAATGCAAATTTTGGAGCTAAAAACTAAACTGCCTCTTTGTTTATTTGGTTTTACTCAAACTCAGCATTGTTGCAGAGGCGTAATTAGATTGTGAATTGTGCAATCTATCTCTAAGGACAATAGCTTTAAACGAAACGACAACAAAAAAATAGTACATATTGTATTCTACAATATTTTACCAGAGGGGAGAATAAATCATTTAAACCTGTATTTATCCGTTTGCACACGCTGTACACAATCCAAACTCTTTAGGCCAAGCGGTTAGATGATAAGTTGTAAACAACAAACTCACTCCGGAACACTGTGTTTCTAAGCCAAGTCAGAGGTCAAAAGCTCGTGGAAAATGCCAAATCCATCCGGCACCTGTGTGCCGTCAGCCATGTGTACTGTACAGTACTGTAGGTCGGATTGGACTTGACCTCAAAATGAAGCACGCCTCCAAAAACTGACTCCAGGGACTCCGCACGCTGCCCCCCTGGGACACGTGGAAGGATGAAGACGAGACTTGACACGTGTGTGTGTGTGTGTGAGCCTCCACCTGCCCTCCCTCCCCTTGCACCCAGCTGAATAGATGTGGACATGGCTTATTAATTCAACCAAATTAGACGGGCGCAGGTCTGGTTTTGTAGTCCTCGCACAAGAACCCAGACGCATGTCTATTAGAGAGTGACCGGTGAACCGTACCTGCCTTTTGTTTTTCAGCCGGTGTAATGGGTGTAGCTGCTCCACACACCTGAAGAACACCAGTCTGTTCTCATACATCCTCCTGCGTGAGGCGAGGACTTGTGTGTTTTTTACAGACTTGTTTTCAGGTGACCTTGTCTGGCGCATATCACTTATCTCAAAGTATGCAAAGCTGCGCACTCCATTAGCCAGAAGCAACATGACATTTTTCTCTATCGTCGGGTGAAATGTCAAACAACAAACTTGTCAGACCGCAAAGGTGCCGTTTCAACTGCAGCCGAGTCAGATTTGTGGTATTTTTTTTTGCCAATTTACTTCCTTAAACTCTGAGGTTTTCAAACCAGACGGCTGGCTTTAAAGTACTTCCTTTTGTTTCTGCTTTGCCAAACGAGTGATAACACCACTTAAACCTCTGCCTAAATGCTTTCTTTGCTTTGATCTCTGGTCGGCACAGATGTGGTTCGTGACTCAACGTCTCAAAAGGGCTTCGCCATATGCTTTTTACGGCTAAAGACGTAAAGAACTACTTAACTACTGTGCAGCCGAGCGGGACATATTTACAGAGGTGGGATTTTACGGCATTAAACGGAGTGGTTAGACATTTTCTACATTTAACGGACGGATTTGGGAGTTATATCGATCTAACTCTGCGCCAGACAGTCCCGACTGTCAAACTACTGCTTTAAATTATACACAGATGATGAGTAGCTTTACAGTTGCAGCACGGGGGCTACAGAGGCTCTCCCGCCATATTGTCATCACGATGTTCAGATTGCTCCAGCGGGTTCATATCCACCAAGCTGTAAAGTCCTGTCTCTCTACTTTTTTTTTTTTTAATTTTTTTTATTATTAACCCTCAGCAGGGGGAGAAAAAAAAAAGAATTGATATTCCAGCACTGTACTTCAATTTCACAATATGGATTATCCCCGAAGGAAAGCCGGCAATCCAAGAGAGCCCAGGACATAAAGGCAGGCCTCTACACGGCTCCTTCACCATCCACGCCCCAAAAAAACACACGCTGCTGCCATTTATAGACACCGGCGTTAACACAACGCAAGCAAAAAAAAAAGAGTGTGTTTTATGGGACATTAAAGGACGACGTAGTTTGAGGATTATCGTCATTGACGTTGATTGAGTGAGCGCAAATTGGAATGACTTGTGTGATATTTTCATCATTCTATTTGCCATATGGTCCCGTATGGATGGGTGAAATAATTGCTCGAAATAGTATCTTGTTTCTGCATATTTTAGCGCGCTGACAAATGGATAAAAATAGTAATGCAAGGGAATGCAAACGGGCCGGGATTATGTGCAAAGCTAATTAAGTTGGATGGGCACGACATCGGTTTCATCTGCCAGTTTATGTCTTTGACATAGCAAATGCACATTTAGGAAAAAAACAGAGCAAACACCTCAGGAATACAAAGATGAATAAATAATGAGCTGTTATGTGCTGGCTAGCATTGTGGGCTTTGTTGTGTATCCTTCTGTCTCCCGTGTGCACATTGCATTCCAGTGACTCCGTTGTCTTTTCCCAGTCGATACTGCAATATACCCGCACATTATTATATATATATTTTATATTTCAAAATATTAACTCCAAATGCGGGTAGCAACTCAATTTATAACCCCACCGAGTACTCCCAAGATGTTCTCTTTGGAAAATGGCTGCAGATTGCTGTTCTTACAAGCACCCCAGGGCCCCTTTTATTGACTGTGAAACAATGCTTCCACCGACGCCCCCTCGCCATCGCAGATTTACTAGACAGCCGTCCTCAGCTCCTCGGCGCGTGTGTGTGGATGGCTGAACAAAGTGTCTCGGATCCAACCCGGCCTCCGTGGGGGGGGGGGGGGGGGTGCCAGTAAACATGCAGAATACAGACTAGGATCCGATGCAAACAAGCTTATAAATTATGCTGCTCCTGACCTTTGGTGGACTTTGGGAAGATGGATGCTACCCGGGCTATCGATAGGAACTTTCTAGCCCGCAGCAGCGAGCCCATATTTCTTCTGGTCCCCGGTCCCTGCACGCTACCTTTGCATGAATAAGTAAGCGGGCTCTGGATGACAGCGAGTGCACACGCGGGGCAGGTGCAGTCTTTAATGTATTTGTGTATAGACCTAGTCGCTTGTGTGGAATCAATCAATTTCATTTCTACGCCGCTGCCTTCTAAGTGTGATATTAGATCGATTGGTTTGGATTGCTTCACCCACGGAGACCGGCGGGGGGGGGGGGGGGCCTGCTCCTGAGTCGCGGGTTCTTTGCGCGGCGGTCCACCAAACATCCAGATCCGTGATCTACGGCTCCCCCGTGTTCCCACTGACTGCAGGCAGATATCTGTGGAACGGCTCACCCGCTGCTTCAGCAGATATTGTTCTGCCTCTGTCGGCGACGCTGATTTATCAGCCTTCATTTATCAGGACCCCGTCCTGCCGTTACTCTCGGTCCACGCACGGCCGTGACACCGTGGTCACGGGACCGGGTGAGGGAGGGGACGGGGGAGGGCGGGGCACACTGAGACGAAAATGATGAACGCAGGTTCTCACATAAGATGCATATCGGCTGAGCGTGAGATTTTCTGCGTGGACGTTCAATGTCACTTTGCGGCGCCCGCGAGGGCACGGAAGGACATTTTTTCATCTCGCCGCGGTTTCCTTTTGCACGAATGGTTGATGTGCTCCACAAAAAGGACATGTAATCATAAACCATACACATCCCAACCTTCCATCTCTCTCTCTAACTCTAACTCTGTTTCTATTCCTCTCTCTTACCTTCTTTATCACAGCCTGACAAAAAACCCCCAAAACAATTACATCAAGCAAAGCCAAACGGCAACTGGGCACTCTAGAGAAATACTTTTTTATTCTCCTTTGAAATAAAATATGCAAAAGTGGAGTGAGGAAAAGAGAACGGCATGCAGGGAAAACAAAGAGTCCCCCGAGAGCCTTTAGATTTATTCATGCTTTTAAACACTTGACATTCCATCACCCTCTTGTCATTAAGGCTTTATGTCCCCTGGCCACGGCCGCACAATAACCAGATCATTTCGTCCAATGAGAACAAATATGTCGCCCGTCCTCCCTGCCGACTAGTGAGGGCCTTCCATGATCGGTGGCTAATAAATGTGCCGGGGGCCAGACGGCCGCCGAGATCAATGTGCAGCCGATTGTACAACGGGGTCGTTCCATTGTGGTCCACGTGGAGGAGAAAGGAGGCCACTGGGCAGGCCAGTGTTTCCTGTCTACTGACTCTATTGTAGTCACCCATTCGCATGGGTAGCCCAGGGCGAGAGTGACAAGCCATCAGCCGGGGCAGGAGCACGGTCCGTCTAAAGAACAGCAGCTCTTCACTGGCACACACACAGAGATTGAGCGCACGTCCATTCAAGTGTGTTTTAATCAGCCTATTATTATCATGAGACATCTGTAAGAATGGGATACACGAAATACATCTCATTACTGTAACACAGTGATACATTAGCAGCTGAAAAAAAGCATTAGTCAACACTGCCGTGTATGTGAAAGCATCCTCTGTGATGGTGATAAAAAAGGCGATTACAGGCTTCCTTTAATCCCAAAATTCAATTGGCAAAACTTCCACGACATGATGAATAGCTCAAACTGGTATTTCCTGCTAATATGTCGTTGTAAAACAGATTCACACTGCGACTGGATGATGTTAGATGAGCTTTCAGCCGACGCCGACTAATCTCTCTTCGGGGCCATCGTTTTTAACAAATGCCTTCTTCTCTTGGTTTGACCCTTTAGCCTCAATTCGAGGCGGAGAGGAGCTTCAAAAGCAGGGCGGCTTACTCTCTCTCTCTCTCTCTCTCTCTCTCTCTCTCTCTCTCTCTCTCTCTCTCTCTCTCTCTCTCTCTC